TGTGAAACAAGTAAATTCCTGTTGCCAGCAGGTGGCGCTATAATTATAACTGAATATTGGCTTTTAGATGTGTTCAGGCCAGGAATCTTATAAAAACGTGTGAAGTTTGGGGCATGTTTCTAGCATGTTGGCAGCCTATGTAACACCTGCTGACGCTTTTTAATATGTTGTTCAGGCCAGGAATCTTATAAAAACATGTGAAGTTTGGGGCATGTTGGCAGCCTATGTAACACCTGCTGACGCTTTTTAATATGTTGCTAGAAGTCCATAACAGTGTTAAACATGTCACTTCCTGTTGCCAGGACCGCAACTAGACAAGCAAATTACACTTTGGCCTTCGGGTGCACGTCCAAGCGATCATATACACACAAAATATGTCAAAATGGCCAGCTTGGAGAGTGTTCACTTAAACACAGTTTATGTCTTAATTGGACATGAACAGTTGTGAGAAAATCCGATGTGTGTCAATATATATTGTTTTAAAGTGACAGCAGTGACTGGTGCTTGGGCCATCAATGTTAATCAAACAACAAAATGCAAAGAGAAAATCACTCACAGCTCTCAATCTGAATAACGTTAGCTTTAATAAGCATTAATCTATCAATTCATGCAGTGAAAACTATGCAGTGTTCATTTACATTTGATTACTTTATTAGATTTCTTTTGTAGGCTATAATACTTACCTGAACAGTAATGTTAGTAGACCTTCATGGAAAAGTTAAAGCACAATTTATTTCATTTGTATCCTTGTTTTACTTTATTTCTTTGTTCATGTTCTTATGTATATTAAACACTAAAAATGCCTGCACACTGGTGCATTTACAAATTGATGTTTTATTCATTTCATTAAATATTTATTTTACATTTCAGAATATAAAGCAATGTTAATTCAGCTCTTAATTTGTACGTTTTAGTGCCTGTAAAAACATAAGTAAATGTACGTTTTGTAGAACCACATTTTACGTAAAATGCATACAAATTATCATGAGATCATGTTGCGAGAACATGATATTTGGCGTGAAAGTGGCATGGCTTGTCTGACATAGCAAGAGTTATTAATGCCGAGTTCACACTGCACGATTTTAGCCCGATTTTTCACTCGCCGACAGGTTTTGCGAAATCGCCGACAAATGCCCGAAATCGGAGGCAAATCAGTGCTCGTTCACGCGAGTGACAATCACGCAGTGTGAATTATCAAAGATGCGATCTGAGGGAATCGCCGACGCGTCGCCAACGCCCGTGAAATATTTGGCATGCTAAATATCTGGAGCTGCCGGCGATTCACAATCACGCTGTGTGAAATTAGTTCTGACTGAAAAACACATTGGCGATGACCTACAGCCAATGAGAGACCAAGATACAGGGCAGCTGGAAGTTCGGGGAAGAGTTATATGAAACGTAGTTTACGGACCAGTGTTGCCAAATCCGCGATTGCCGCCGGTTGTTTTTTATGTCAGCAGGTTGAAGCGACCTCAATAACTGATATTTAAGCCCTGGAATGTGAATTGTACCAGGAGAACCCCGCCAAAAAAATTTGTATTTTACCCCCCAAAAGCGATTTTTACTGGGGGACCCCTCGAAAGCAATTGGGCTATTTTCAGGCTAGTTTTGAGTAGTAATTGGGCGGGTTTTGTAGCGAAAACCTGGCAACCCTGCACCAGACAGAGCTGTCGGCGATTCTACCTATTGTGAAGTCATGCAGTGTGTAACCTCCTGTTGTCGTTCCATCGTGCAGTGTGAACACAGCAGCAACTGAATGCTACCCCAGATAGAAAAAATCGATTTTCACGATTTTGAAAATCGTGCAGTGTGAACTCGGCATAAGAGGGCGGGTTTTGTGAAGGGTCAATCGTGTCAAGAATCAAGCGAATTTTCACATTTTCACTTGAAAAAATGTTTAGAAAAAATACTGTGGTGAGTTTTTGTGTCATTTAGTGGTTTAAAGGAGAATAAAATCAAATGCGGCTTTCACCATGGTGCACCTTTAGCACCATATTCTGATGGTGAACTCCATATTCTGCCCAGTTTGACATGTTAACTTGCTCCTAAGTGCCTCAAACAAAACTTTGAATGTCTTTGAAAGATGTGAAGCCAAGAACCTGGTAAATAGCACTTTTATACATATTATTATTTATACATATTATAGCAGCATAATATCAACCCAGTACTCTGTAAATGCAGTTTGGTTTTCCAGCGGGCAGATCAGAGCTTGCTATTTCCAAAAGTGCTCTCAGGTTTTGTGTGCGGTGTGCATCAGATGGTCAGTACTTTTGCTTTTTCTTGTCGCTTTTGGAGCTCTGCAGCATGGGGACCACCCTAGTGTGCACTTGATAATGGATGTAGCACTTTATAACTCCCGGGTGACTTGCAATGGGAGCCCCTGGGAACATGAAACATGAAGGTTTTTAGTTCGAAAGTTAAATTTAGCATTGTTTATTATCACCTACTGTGTTTTTGATGAGCCCTGTTACAAATTTAACCACCATTTTCATATGGTTTATCTCTTCTGATTTCCATGTTTGATGCTTGAGGACAAAAGCAAAAGCATTTGAGTGATCATCATGCTCTTCTGCTATGTCTGGATTGATTGTTTGGCAGGAAAGCATGTCAGCTAAATTCAGCAGCTGTAAACAGCTGGAAGTCACGCAGAGTATGGGTACAGATGAGTTTACATTAGTACCCGAGTAAATGACTGCTGGTATGAAATATGACTAGACTATATAAGCTCGGCTGTCTTTTTCATAAACACTTGAGCTGTTCATGCAGTGTGGTTTTACATGGCATTCAATTTTAGGAGTTAACATCTGTGCCACTTTCCATTGCACGTCAATGTCTGTGAGTATTAAAAGCATAAAGGTCTTGACCTTCCTGACTGTATTGTAATCATACAATGTTATAATTTTGATATAATCGATTGAAATTATATTTAATTAATTGCATAAAAATTTTTTTGAACTATTAACTAATTTCTCATTGCTTGTGACACCATTATTTAACATCATCAGATTAAAACTGTTTTCTTACACATTTTAGTGTTGATTGTGTTCATATTTTGAATAACTTCTTTGAAATTTCTGTTTTCATTGTAATTTTAAAGTTTTAGTCATTTTTATCCCATTTTTAATGTGTCATTTTTACTCCAGTTAAACTAAATGAAAATGAGAAATGTTTCTAACTATCTGAAATCAAATAAGTTCTTTCACTTATTTCAGTTAAAATTTATTTTGTTTTATTTCAAATGTTTTTATGGTTTTAATTTTTAATAACCCTGTTCTGTTATTTTAGGAAGACAGTCAAACACGTTTTATTAAAAAAAAACAAAAAACTTTTGATTCCAAATTTGCTGACCCCTGTTGAGTGACAGCTTCTTTTAGGCTAAATATGCAACCCTGTTACTCTCCAACCCATTTACCCTTTAGAGTGTTTTTTATTTCTATTTATTTATTATTATTAATTTATATATTTTAACATTTTGTTTTGATATTTAATGTGTATTGCTAATAAAATGCGAAATTATACAAAAGTTTAATTTAGACATGTTGGTAAGAGGGTTGCAAAAACTGCAAAACCCTTAAAAGTGAATAAAAATTCAACAATTTAATGTTTAGTTTGACCTCCTGAGGTTGACAACCAGCATTTCTGACAACTCATTTCACTGTTCATTTGCTGAAAAATAAAAGAATATACACTCACCGGACACTTTATTAGGTATACCTTTCTAGTACCAGATTGGACCCCCTTGTGCCTTCAGGACTGCTTTAATTTTTCGTGGCAAGGTGCTGGAAACTAGGGTGACCATACGTGCCATTTTCTCAGGACGCGTCCTGGCCAGGATTTCTATATTGCCTAAAATATCTAGGTTTTGGCTTTGTTTGCGTGTGCAGACCGATCGGTGTATGACATCAAAATACCTCGAGAGCATTTTGAAAGCA